TCTACATCCCAGGCGAGAGGAATGTGTTCCACACCCTTCCACCCTAGTTCATTATGACCCATTTTAATATTATCCTCCTATCTATGTTTGCGTCCCGTAAGTTCTGATTTCAAACTGTAATTTTGTATATATTTCTTATGTCTCCCTTGAATGTTACGTGTCCTGCCCAGCTCACTCTTCAGCCGAGCACCAAATTAAGAAACTCCTCAGTATGCTCTTCTCTCTATCCTTCCGCCGCTTCTCTCTCTCAGGTTCAGACATGTTCTCAAACATCCTGAGCCTATGTTGGGCCACGGTCGGGACCTGGAAATAAATGGGAGGATAATATTAAAATTGATCTTAATTATAGTGTGAATTTGTGGACTGAATTGATCTGACTAAGGGTCAGTGGAGGGGTCTTGTGAACACGATTATGAACCTTCAGGTTCCATAAAAACTGGAGTACTTCTTCAGTAGTTATGCAACTCCTAGCTTTCCAGGAACATTGCTCTACGGAGTTACTTAAATGAACGTGAAGCCCAAAACCAAAGTAACTTAGATCAGATATTGATGGGTTTCCAAGTCACGAATAGGATGTGGACGTCAAGAAAACCTGTAGTTTAGGTTGCCTCATATCTAATGTCTCTGAAATACTTCACACCTGACAGAATCGAACCCGTGGCTCCACAGTACGAAGAATAATCTTCTCGGAGTTTCACCTAAAGTTTCGGTATTCATTTGCAGGCTCCCGTCCGAGTTGACTGCTGACCGTTTCATTTTCTCGCTGTGCACAGATGCACTAACTCTACAAGAGACGTTAGTCAGAGTTTGTAGGCTCAGCTGATCGCCGGGTGAGGCTTGACCTTGAAAATCTGAGGTTCCAGTTCTCGCTCAGGAAACTGTGTCCAAGGGGGTTCCCCTTGTTTATTTTGCGTTCATTGCACGACATTATCGCGTGTAGGACTGGCCATGTCTGACTGCACGTTTAGGCGTTTAGGCTCCAAAACCACGGGGCGGATTTTCATTAAATTTGGTCTGGACATTATGCCACTATACACTACCCAAATCTCATATATTTTTAATTTCCTGCAATCAGTTATACCAACATGACGGACACACGAACTCGAGTGTCACTAGAGACAGGCAAAGATATCCTTGTAATGGGCTGTGGAGGCCCATAGGGTTGTGAAACGTCGAGGCTTCCATATTTCCCAGACAATCGGCTCACAGATGGCGGTGAGGTTGTCAGCCTTACGCGCCGGCCGCCCTTTACCCCTAGGACGATTCCTGGTACTCATTTCTGTTAAAGGCTGAGTCGACCCCAGGGCCATAGTGAGGCCGGAAGGATTAGATAAATTGAAAAATCCAATGAATTCATCCGGAATCGAACCCGCGACCTTCCGGAGTGTAGCACAGTGCCTCAACCAACTACGCTACCGCGTACTCCTATATTTTATAGCGGATTCTTGAAAATTACACAGCTTTTGGTAAGGCATTCTGTTTGTGAAGTGCAGTATAAAATGGCTGCTGCATGAGAACTTCGCTTACGGGCTGATGGTGGTGAGTAGTGAACTCGTGGGGTTAGCCGCGGTTACAGATTCGCCATTCAATTTTGTTTTCGAGTCACCATTTGGAGACCTGGCGGCAATGCCAGAGCTGCGAAAGGTCAGAACGCAAAGACGGAAGCGAAAATCGTATCCCGGTGCCTAAAGCCATCTTTCCGGCCATGTTCAGTTATTCTTCACTGATTCTGGCGCGATACCTCAGTGCGGAAGTATGAGCCTCTTAGCGGCCATTATCTGCAACCTCACGTAACCACAGAAGTGGGAATAGATTGTTCACTGATATTTCTGGCGTGTGTTGAGGAGTTATCCTATCAAATGAACCCAGAAAATTTGCAGGAATGATCAAAGAGGAAAACGGTAACAGATGCATGTTTTTGTCGAGATTAATAGCGAGTTGCAACGAAGGCATGGTCGTATTTTATGACATTTCAATGTCGCCTCCTCCTCCTTTACCCACATTTTCCTAAACTGCGATCAATAAGTGCAGTGGCAACGGACCAGACGAAGGGAACGCGACCGTAAGAAGAAGAAGAAGAAAAGAGATGTATTGCTAATGGCGATGTTAGAGTTCTCATACCACAAATATAAAATGTAAAGGTAAAATTGTCCCTTTGCTTAAAAAATTAAGCATTACGCCGTGAAGACGTAAGGGGGAGTGGATGTATAGATCCACGTTTTCTTGATCTCCGCACTAGTTCGAGGTGAGTGGTCAGCTTCACGCTCCGGCCGCTTTACCGCCGAGGAAATATTTCTTGAAAAGGCACAAAACAAATATTACTCTTAGTGTCTCCTTATTTAGAGAGAAAAAAATTATTTAATATAGGCCTGTATTATGATTGCTTGTTCTTTGGCCCTGTGGGTCTCGTCCATCTGTTCACTTCCTGCCATTTCGGTCTTACAGTCATGAAATTTCGGGCCTTCTGGGTTTCCTACTTTAAACAATTTTCTTATCAACTCTTGTTTGATCCATCCCAGCCATATGCTTCAAACACTGCAGGCCTCTGCTGCTCACACCCACTAGCAGAGCACTACTTTCCCATTTTATTCTGATTTCTGAGTCTCCAAGACTGTTGCTCAGTTACTGTTCCATATGCGGGCCTTCAGAATTGTCTTCTCCCGCCTGTTTAACGCATCTTGTATCCTTTTCAGTCACGAACCGAGTTTCACACCCGCATATCACAACTTGCTTTACCATTGCTTCATATATTTTAATTGCAGATGTTCCGCCCACTGTTCTGGACCTTAAGCATTGCCTGCAGCGACTCTCATCTTGAATTATTCACCGATTCCATTCCCCCCCCCCTATCAAAGCAGCTAAATAATTCAGCATTCTGACCTGTTTGCATGACTGTCAACATTCAAATCATGTCTGAGTTTGGGTACGTTCTTCATGACATGGTTTCATTGCATTCATCATCAGCTGTCCTCATATTTGTTCATTCACTCCCGTCGACTGTCCCATGCATCACCGCAACCTCCTTAAACAAGAAATGTTGTGGTGTTCTTACAAAATTCTCCGTTATGGCATGCGTAAGGAGGCTACTAAATAGCCTCTTTCTCGAAATGTAGTAAAAATATATCTCGAACATTATTTTTCTTCTCCATGCATTCTTTCGTAGTTTCTGCAGGCCTTGGAAAAGAACGCTCTTGTATCAGTGACATTGTCAGCAGTAGAAACCTACCCCTCTAGTGTTCAGTAGCTCGTTCGGAAACCGTAGCCCTTGCACAACCTCTGCACTGTACATGATCAATGTTAGTCATGGGGGAACTTAGCGAGTATTAAGTTCGCATTCCTGGTGGTAAAGGGCGGCTGGCGCTTGAGGCTGACAACCTCACAGCCATCTATGAGCCGATTGTCTAGAAAATGTGAGAACCTCGACGTCTCACAACCCTATGGGCCTCCACGGCTTGTTACAGGGATACTTTTACTTTTTTGAGGCTTCATTATTCTAAAATGCTTGTGCGCCACTGTCAGTTCGAGACTCCTCGCCTGAACAGTCAGTCTTCTGTGCTGGACCTAAATTGTTAACCAGGCTAACACACGAGAGCAAACGGGGAAATTGTGTTGAGGTCAAGAAGCCGATTAGCGACGTTTTGTTTCTCTTTATTTCCACATCGAAGTGATAAGCACTGGACACTCCCTCCTCCAAAACCTCAAATTATAGTACAGTCATGACTGGAGCAGTTGGTGCAGTTCTTCGGAATATGCTAAGTTGACCAAACAAACAATTAGTGTACAAATGTGATGTAACATATTGCTGACAAATGTTTACGTTTTATAACATGGTTACAGTTTTATTGGCTCGAATTACATACTCAAATGAGTGAAGATGTAGGTTGTCAGGATTCATTCCGAAATATAAAAGATTATTATTTATTCTAGGGAATAATTTTTAAATGTTAACATTTTAAAAAAATGTTTTTTTTTTCGTAACAAATTTAAGTTAAGGTTGTTGGTACCTAGTCTGAAGTCGCTGGGGGACCAGGAACAATTTTGGTAGTTCGCCATCTTAATTTGGTCATACAAAAGATATGATTATACACATTTCTTAAAATAATTCCGGGATTTTATGAATATGTCGAAAATTAATATCATGCTATCCCATTAACGTTTTGGCTTATTCGATGCCTGTTAAGTAGGGATGAAAGTGAACAAAATCCCTGGCATCATACGGCTTTGATGTTTCATACACGCCAAGGCATGAGCAGTTCGGAAACAACCATGATGCTTCTGCAGATGAGCACATGGCCTTACCCAAGACTTGGCCCTAGTGGCAGCATTGGGAAATACCACTCCCTTCTGTCGCTCTATTTTCCGTAAGCGACTGCTCTCTGTTGGTGAAACGCTTAAACTGGCCGAACACTATTCGCAAACAAACGACAGGCAAGCCGTTAGTGTGAACAACAAAGAAGACGTGTGGAGGGGCAGGCGTTCTCGCTCTGGCGAAAAGGTAATTTTTTCTCACACAATAACGTGATGTGAACTGTTTTAACGAAAGCAGAATGAAAGAGCGTAGTAATAAGAGTCTATAACGAAGTACATCGAGGTAAGTTTCATTTATAAAAGTATAAAGAAATAACAAACGCATATTGCACATTGTCAGCCATGGTTTTTATATATCGGTGTGTATAAACTTAATTGTATCTCGACTGTGTGTCGTAATGCAATGCTGCTTATGTGAGTTTGTGTGTCAGTGTTTAATGATGCATAATAATATTGAAATTGTGTAATATTTCGGAAGTGACACATCCGACTGTCACGGATCGTGTTTTACGGCGGAGCAAGCAGAGAAGGAAGCACGCTGACTCACAGCTCTGTCGCTAGGTCGATTTTACGATGGCAGTGAGCTTGTGAATGGAAGGATATTTTTTTGTTCTTGTTCTCTGACGTCGCGTACTCATAGTAGTACTACGAAATACTTGAAATAAAAAGAAGTCATGGGATAAATAGTGCAGTATTTGTGAGAACTTGTGTTCGGAGATGTTTCTTCGTGTTTTGGCGTAGTCCTGTCAAACGCGGAACGAAAATAGCGGAGCGGCGTATCAGTAGGTAAGGTCAGTGAAAACGAAAGCCATGACCACGGGCGGGTGTTTGAACCCGCAACTTTCCTTTTCGTTCATAATGCATCAGAATCAGATGCAGTTAGTACCGTTTCTGCATTTACAGCTTATTTCGTGTACCGTATAACAGCATACTCTCCCGAGATGTGGCTTACGAAAATATCAGTGCGCCGATTCGAATTTAAGATTAATCCATCATTTAAAGGCGACTGGTAATAATGTAATAGCTGTATCTTTGCTGTAATGGAAGCATATGCAACATTCCCTTATTACAATGTGTACGAATATTTGCTTTCGGAGATTTCCATTGACGAAATTTACGATGCTGGCATTTTTCCATTTCCTCGATTTTTCTCTAAATTGTGAGGTTCCACTAATTATGTAGCGTAGATAGCTCAGTCAGCATAGTGACTAGTGTAGGGCTGGACGATTGTGGTTCGATTCACAGCAGGAATGGAACGTTTTATTTTCGTTACTGTGCCCATACTGGCTCTGGGGCCCACCCAGTCTTCCTCTTTACTTGGCAGTAGAGATTGTACCTTGAGGCAAAGCGGCCGGGGCGTGAAGCTAACTACATGACACAGAGACAACACTTTAATAGAATTAATTTCACCACACTTCCTGGTCGAGTAGGTGATGCTTGTGCTCTGTATTTGCTAGGTTCTAAGTTCAATTCTCGGTTAGCATACTGCCTGCCCTGACTGGGGGTTTTCTTGTTTTCCTCAACCCCTAAAAACATGCTAGCATAGTACCTCAAATTAGATCACGGCACTTTCTTTGACGTCCGTTCCATTTCTATGTCCATGTTTTATATTTCCGTTTGTTGCTAACTGGTGTGAGACACTGGTGTCATGGTTAAATAAATGTTAATAAATAAATAGGTACATAAATGTAATGTTACTACCTAGTATTCAAAGATAGAGTGTTACAGGTTACACTGTATGTGAACTTGTGTCTGTGCGTGTGCTGATGTGTGTCCTTCTTCCCCAGATATTTGCATGAAGTGTAAGAAGCATCTGGAAGAGGACAGTGGCTTGTTCAAGGGGCATGGACATGGGGGGCAGATGTGTACCGGGCCTCAAATCATGAACTGGAGATGAGTGAGGGGGGGAGCCAGGGTCCAGATTCCCTGGGCTCTGCCTATCCAGGGACCGGAGGTGGTGGGGGTGGCGGTTACCAACAACAACCCCCGTCGCAGCCTCCGACCCCATCCTCCACCGTCCAAGACACAGGAGGCTATAAAGATGAGTTCTCTGGAGGTGACGTAAATGGGACATCCAAGTCTTCTTCATCTTCAGGCCTTCCACCTTTCAGCTCGTTTTCTGCAGCAGATGTGACGGAAGGCCTGGGATCCAGACTCGCAGGTGATGCTTTTGCAGAAGGTTTCACTGGCCGCCTGCTGGACATCTCCTCCTGGGACTACTATGAAGGCCTCACAGGAAGACTGCTGGATCGTGGAGATGGGATACCGATGCTGGTACCACAGCCCCAGTACCGTCCCTGGGAGAGCAAAGCTCCGGATGGTTTTCACCACGATACTCTACTCAAGTCAATTGCCCCGGCAGCCCCCAGTGCTATACCGGCTTTCACAGATTCCTTCTCTGCGTCTGCAGCAGCAAATAAGCTTCCGTCTTTCCAGTCGCAGTTCAACGCTTTCCCACAAGAACAGACGGTGACGGGCAACAATGGGGAAGTGCTGACTACCCTTACAGCTGCGTCACCTTCACCTTCCTCGTCGTCTTCCGGCCTTCCAAGTTTCCATACGTTGTCTGCTGTGAATCCCCGGCCAAATTACCCACTCGTTCCTGCTCCGGTTCAAGCCAGAGAGATTCCTGCAATACAGCAGCAGTTTCTGGACGAACGGCATATCCAGCTGTTTGCTCACTCACAACCGTTTGGATCGGCACATTCTTTGAATAATCAGCCAACTGTCACAACCCTAAGCAATGCTCAGTTTCACCACCATCCTCACCAGATCACCCTTGCCCCACCCAATGCCACTACCTTGCTTCAGCAGGGCAACACCCTTGTGCCCCAAAATGCGCCAACGGTTCTAACTGTAGTTAAAACAGAGCCAGTGACCTTGGTGACATCAGATTACAAGATGCCTCCTCAGCAGCTCACCCAACTGCACCATAGCAACTTTCAGAACCCAATGGGCGTTCTGGACGTTAACAAAATGGGAGCTGATGGACTGAAATTCAGTGACAGCCCTCCGCGGGGCACAGACTCAAGGAAGAAAGAGCGCCGGAAAGTGCGAGCATCATCACTGGAGAGCTCGACGGAGAGTGACGGAGCCGGAAGCAGCAGTGTAGAAAGCTCAGGACAGGTAGCCGCGGTGTCTAGCACTGCTGGCTTCAAGTCGCCCCTTCAGCCCAGCTCGAACACCCCCTCTGTCTCAGACAGTGAAGGTGAGAAGCCTGTCAAGAAGAAGCGCAAGAGATGTGGTGAATGCACGGGCTGTCAGCGCAAAGACAACTGTGGAGATTGCGCTCCTTGCAGGAACGACAAGAGCCATCAGATCTGCAAGATGCGTCGCTGTGAGAAGCTGACGGAGAAGAAGGTAGGAAATGAGTATCCAAATTATTGCCAACTATAGCAAAGTTTTCAGAACAATCCAGTTGGGTCAAGATGCCAGAATATTTGGCCTTCATTGCCTTGTTAATGGATTCTGTAAATGTAACAACTTTGGTTTTGTCATCAGTGAATGTTTAGATTGAGGTTGTCTGAGATGTGACAGGTTGTACTTTGGTGGACAGGGACCAACATTTCGGAGCCATCTCCATTTCATGGTAGGTTCCTCAAAAATGTTGATATCTGCCTACCAGGCTGAAAGATGTCATGTCCCAGGAGGCCATAATGTTAATTTGTTTCGCTTTATCAACTGCCTTCAGTTATATTGTAAAATGCAGCTTTTCTGTGCTTCTGAGATAGGCACACAAGTTCGAAACATGGGGTAATATTTTGTGAACATTTTGAAAGATTTCAGGTCATAATGTTTTGTATAATTCTGTGCTATGTTAACCCATAGATACCTGAAATAACAACTCATTCACTTTCAAAAACTCACCATTCTGATGGCCAAGGAATTGGATTGCTTCTGTAAAGTTGGTAGTGGCAAACTCTTGTATGTATCTCATTTTGTGTAATTTCTGTTATTTATACAAGGACTAAAGTAATGTAAGCCACATTTAAGCGAGCTGTGGGGTTCTGAGCAAGGATATACCGGGACGGTTTGAAGCCCATTTGGTAGAGTATCTGAAGTCGCTAGTCTCATTGAGGCCGCTGTCTTATTGTCCTCTTCCATGATTTCAGAATCACTTGGTCTGATTTGTTAATTTTGTGATTGTAATTTACAAGTCTATTAAACTTCTTGCAGATGTCTCACATGTCAGGACATGTCTGTCAGTTTCTCAAGTTCCAAAGTTGCTAATCCTAACAGCACTTTATTCATTTCATGGCAGCATATTTCTTCCTTGAACTTCAGCTTATGCAATTACTTTTTGGGGACATGCGTAGAGAGATCCACCCTAAGAGAAGACACGGTACTTTGTATACCACAGGTAGAATAGCAGAATGTGGCATGGGGAACTCGTGCAGACAAGCAGAGCAATTGATGACAGTTCCATTACATTTTGCGAATACTCAGTTATACTTTATGTGATAATAAGATACAATTATTATATTAAGGTGCAGTTTTCAGTGCATCATGTTTGGTGCTATATCACACCTTGAGTATGGAACTTTTGGAAGGGAAGTCTTGTGTTTTCAACGAAATCTCCGGTATAGACATATTTGTTTCCAACACACATTTGGAAACAGAATCTGGTAACCTTCAAACGACCGCCTAATGATGCAGATGTTGCGCACAATGTAATTGTGGCATGCTCAGTGCAAAATGCGAATCATTTACCAATGCCTTCTTACATTTTGTGCACTTAAGACTCTGTAAGTCTCAGAATGTGATCTGTGTAGACTGCAGTCAGTCTCCCTTTTGGGTACTCAGATGTTTCCACAGTGTGTCCCCCTCATTTCTGCAGTGAGCTTACTGACATGGTAGCTGTCGCTGTGCACAGGGCAGAAGTTGGGGGGGGGGGGGAAGATGGATGTACTGAGGGAAACTGTGGAACACTAACAAGTTCTCAGTTCAAAATAAATTCCAATCTTGATGAATGTCTTGAAGTAGTTTCATAAAATCATAGATTGCTGCTTGAGTTTTGTGTTTGATGTGCAGCGTAAGAAGCTGTGATATTATGAAGCGAGTTATGATAATGGGTTACTTAATACCCTCGCTTCAGCCACTGCTGGGCTCCTGATTACTGCCTTGGTCCATGCCCATATTTCTGCCCACGATAATGTGTGCACGTAGCAGCCTTGCAGTAGCCTGTATTCCTAGCTAATTGGTACAATTTTTATTTTTGTCAGTATGCAGCTTCCTGTGTTTGAATGGACCCTCTTCCTTGTTTCCTTTATATCTCTTCCATGTCTCCTGTCCTCTGAATTATTTTAATAATACATCTATATATACACAGTAGTGTAATTGGTTGAGGCACTATGCTACAAGCTGGAAAGTCACGGGTTCGAGTCCCAATCCTTCCACCAGCACTGTGGTCCTAAGGTCAACTCAGCCTCTATCAGAAATGAGTACGAGGGATCTTCCTGGGGGTAAAGGGCGTCTGTCTCATAATGCTGACAGTCTCACCGCCATCTGCAAGCCGATTGTCTAGAGAAAATGTGGGAGCCTTGATGTCTTATGACCCTGTGGACTTTCATGACCTGTTACAGGGACAGCTTTACCTTTTTATCTATGTAAAAGTATAATTAGAATGATCAAGTCAAGGAGGATGAGATGGGCTGGGCATGTAGCACGAATGGGGAGAAGGTGAATGCATATAGGATATTGGTGGGAAGGCCAGAAGGAAAGAGACCACTGGGAAGACCAGGACTTAGGTGGATTAAAAATATTAAAATGAATCTTAGAGAGATAGGATTGATGTTGCTTGGGATAGGGACCAGTAGAATGAACACAGTAATGAATCTGCAGGTGAAGCAAAATTTTGGGAATTTCTTGAGTAGCTGCGTGACTGGTGGCTTCTCGAAAAGGGCTCACTCAGCTTCGTGGAGTTTATTAGTTTTCTGTGTGCATGGTTGTTCTAAAATCTTTAATCACTGAAATTCTGTTTGTAAAATCTAATAAAAGTATCAGTTATGTAAACAAAAATCAGTTATCATCTTTTAAAACTCTGTTATCATGTGACTACTGTATGTTATCTACATATACCCTAGTTTTGGTATAGTTTAGAAATTGTAGTTACAGTAACACTACATGAGTGCCACGCCATAGCTCAAGCGGTTAGTCGCTGGCTTCCCACCGCAGTGGCCCGAGTTCGATCCTGGGTCTGGTCAAGTGGGATTTGTGGTGGACAAAGTGGCGCTGAGGCAGGTTTTCTCCGAGTACTTCGGTTTCCCCTGCCAATCTTCATTCCACAAATTGCTCTACAATCACTCTCACCTGTCATCTGGGGCTGGTACAATAGGCCAGAAGTGGCCGCAGTACCAGGGATTTAGTCCCACCCCACTAGCAATAAAGAAAACACTACATAAGAGACATAGTGAACCAGATAATGCAAGGAATCCTGCTCAATATTATCACTTTTTTTTTAATTCGCTTAGTGGGGGGGTGGAGTCCAACTGGGTCCACTCAGCATGGCGGCCACTGATTGGCCTATTGTACCTGCCCCGGGTGATTATGATGATGGAGAATTTGGTGGAATGAAGATTGGCAGGGGAAACCGAAGTATTCGGAGAAAACCCGCCCCAGCGTCACTTTGTCCACCACAAATCCCACTTGACCAGACCTGGGAAGCCAGCGACTAACCGCTTGAGCTGTGGCAGGGCCATATGATAAGTTGCCGAAAGCTGCGTCTAGTAAATGCTAATCCTGCTTCATATTTGGGATGAACTTAGACTGAGAATTTCTGTCGGTTTTCTCTAAGTCACTGCTGCAACCATTTTATCTCCATTTGTACCAACTTTATTTATTGTTTGGGGCCCATTGTCTGCAGTCATCGAAGGACTGCAAGCTGCAGACGCACATTGTCGGTTGCTATGTACTGTGAATTAGTAAGGCATTTCTGAAGACAATGTATCAAATTAATTTAAAGTATTGTCTGTTGAGTTGCCTGTTTGTTAAAGTGTAGTTCGAAGACATGCCCCTGAGCAGCTTGGCCCAGTGGTAAAACTCCAGGTAGTTGACATGAATCTCAGTAAGAACATAGGCTATCATGACAGAGGTTCTTTGTGGTTGTCCTCAGCCTCTCCAGGCAAATGGCATGGTAGTACCTCAGTTAGGCCACAACCTTTCAATTTGTTTCCAATTCATCAGTCGCCACCTGTCCTTCCATTTGATGATGTGGAGCCTAGATGTTTATAGCGCCATAGAACAAGCCTCACAGACCCACATGATGGAACTTGGTCTTCAGTTAGGGGTTTACCCTTGATCCTGAATGTTGTCAATTGGTTTCACAGTAACTGCATAGTCTATTGTCTTCTTCTGAAAGGTGGCTGTCACTCACCTTGTGAAGGCTCATTACTACACTTGCAAGAACCTTCCACTAGGCCCTGCCCCTGAGCCATTTGAATCCACTTTAACATTTTCATCAGCATCTAGGGGTTTTTAAGCAGTATCCTGACCAAAATGCTATATGCAATGCTTATCTAACCATCCATGCTACAGTTCATACGAGTCTCAGCCTCCTTGATTGAGAAGTTGTGAAGATCCTCACTATGCTGTTTCCCTATGCTCTTGCTCTGCTCTCAAACACCCTCAGTCTGCGTTCTTCCCTTAATATGACAGACCGAGTTTCACACCCATACATAACATCAGGTAAAATTACGGGTTTTTTTGTGTGTTTTAATCTTTAGGCTTTAGGCAGCAGACTGGAAGATGAAAGATTCTGAGGTGACTAACAACAAGTGTTTCTTGAATTTATTTTGCTCTTGTTGTGTTAGTAAATGCAATCTGAATTTTGTCACAGTTTGGAAGTTGTCCCTGTATTGTGATTTTGATGATACATGAACATATTTTTAGTTTCTCTCTGTATATTTAGACCACCCTACTTGTTAGTGACTAAAAGGCTATTGTTTTTATGTATATTTATGCCCCTATAAGATATGTATTTTTATTTGTAGTAATGACGTAAATCCATGATGCACACTGTTCCTTAAGTTCAAAGCTGGTACAGTTTGCTTTTCATTATGAAATTGGAAGGTTGACCATCGCTGTAATATAATAGTGTTGCTAAATCACACAATAAGGAAGTTCTAACTAACAGTAATAGTTTAATGTGTATGCAGTGACTTAGATGGGAGTTTGGATTGGATTCATTGGGCTCTTTGATACAGCGCATGACTGGCCGCGCCAAAGCTCAAGCGGTTAGTCGCTGGCTTCCCACCGCGGCGGCCCGGGTTCGATCCCGTGCCTGGTCAAGTGGGATTTGTGGTGGACAAAGTGGCGCTGGGGCGGGTTTTCTCCGAGTACTTCGGTTTCCCCTGCCAATCTTC